ATTGTTTGTAAATTTACGAACTAATTTTTTACAGTGTAAATATCAATGTAATGGTGCCTCTGTTTATGGCAAAATTCTGACAATTGTTAAATGTTCTGTTAATTATTTTGCTCTTATCTCTAGATCTGTTGTCCAAACTGATTTTAATTCCAGATATTTTGAGGATTGTCATTTTGATGCCCAATGGACTTTGTATCTGTCTCCAGTTTCATATTAGTTTGCTTTTGAATATGTGTGAAAGATCATAAATACATCATTGAGCCTCTGAACTATCTTGAATTAGAGTAGGTGGACGTGCTTCAATCAATAAAATTGACAGTGAACTAAAAGCATTTGGAACATCATTTTCAAACCCAAACATGGCGCAAAAAAGGGGGAACGGCTTGAAATTGGCGAGGGCTGTGGCTGCAGTGGCGATACCCCGCGCGGACCAGAGCCGGCCGGCCGCCGATACCCCCTGCATCCATCCAGCGGCTAGCGCTTCGGCTCTATGGATGAAAAATTGCGCAGGCCTGGCGGCGGTGACGGTGGCGCGCGGGGCCCAGCTGGACCGTCTGAAAATGGTCTTAGTCCGCCAGTGACGTCATAACCCCCCCTACTTCCATCTTGCGCCTGGATGGATGGGGGGCACTGGGGGGGTTCTACGACGGTTCACCCAAACTTTTTGATGCCCAAGTTGTTTTTTTTTGACGAAAATTAAAATTTGTCATTTGGCCTAAAAACGTTTCACCGCACTAAAAGTGCTTTGCCCAGTGTTTCATTATAGAGGCGCCAGCCGCCCACTGGTGTAACAAAGGCATTAAAATTATGCCCTTTAAGGGCGTTAAAGATTTATGCCCCTGGAGCGGAGTGAATCATTAATGCCTTTTGGAAGAGCTTTAAAATTTGTTTAAAATTCCCTTGCAAAATGGAAAATATATGGGCACTATATGGACAAAATATATGGCCCAACATGTATTGACGACATATGTGGAAAAGATAATTTAGCAAGATACTTTTCCGATATAAAAAATATGTGGCAAATATATAAATTTCATACAGTGCTCTATATGTAGGCAATATATAGTGTGAATACACCATGGAGTCTGACGACTCGGAGACTTCCTTTACTATGATAAAAGAATGTCAACCTCGCCTTGCGAGGACATCCATTTGAAATCCTACCGTATTCGCCTAGAAGAACTTTTCGCGCTACACCCAAAAAAGACGTTTAAAATTTCCGAACTGTTCCAGTTAACTTGTTAAACAGGATTTCTCAAAATTTCTTGGAGACTTAAACGCATAGAAAAGAACCTTGCCCCTGCTTAATATATGGCGTCAATATGTTTTTCAAGATAAAATCATCTTCAGAAATATAGCCGCCTTTCAACATCGAGTGCCAAGTTTTTAAGAAAAGTTACTTGAAAAGTCTGCCCTCCTCACCCTCCCCCCATCCCCGACGGGCACCGTGTCAGATATTGAAACATACATTTTGCGAAATAATATTACAGGGGGGAATATATGCATCATATATTAACGGGTACCAATATACCCCCATATATAAACCACGCATTGCGCAAGATAATTTGCAATATTTGAACAAGATACAATCATATTGGCAATGCTGAAACTATATGGAGTCATATATTGACACATATTTTCCATATATTTTCCTTTTTGAAAGGGGTTGCTATACGATTCACTCCCCTTCCCCAAAAGGGGCATAAAAAAGGTTTAACTCTTTGAGAGCGTAATTTATATGCCTTCTTCTTACCAGTGCCACGGGGAAAAAAAAGACGGAACGTGTCCGGTCAATTTTTTACCTGGACCGTCCGTACCTTGCTGGTAACCACGGAAGTTCTGTACATTTTTTTCCGTGCCAGTTTACATGAGATCCTTGTGGAGACTACATAGAACCAGTACGGAAGGTAAGGGAGTATGGGCGATTTGTAACAGATTTCGGAATTCTCTATACAAAATTAAAACATTCTGCATATGGGTGTCAAACTTGTGCCAGTTGAGCATCTGGCCCTTCATCTAGACTGTGCAGCTCCATTGGATCAATCTGGAGTCCGTAATCTTTAAATCTAAGACGTTTTCCAAACCCTTGCATGCTGTTACGAATCGCCCCAGCATGGGGTGATTTGTAACAGCCATGGGCCTTTCATAACATCCTACACATTAAATGAAACATCGTCAGGAATGTTATCTCCTCCACCAGCTGTTCTTCGGGTGTCCTGCAGACGTCTAAAAATCTACATTACAAGCTGCCGTTGACCGCCTCAGCATTTTTGAGAGGACAGCATAGAAAAACCTCGCTTAAAAAGGCTTTTCCCGAGCTGTGTAAACGTATTGGAATAAAACAGCAGATGATTCGAGAAATAATTCAAGCATTTAACAGCAAAAACTACTTAAATTCTTGTTTTGAAACGGGTCTGTCATGAATCCCCCCAAATGCCTGTTACGCAAAAAATCCGTCCCTAAATATCATGGACAAAGAAAAAGCAACTTATGCCACGTGTTTACATTGTGGGGGGTCACGCTTCAAGGCCCCAAGGGCTTCAATGGTGCTTCATACCGGGGGACCCCAGACAAAAACTTCCTAGAACTCAAAAAAAAAGATTTGCATGTTTGCCAAAATTTCGGTGTACCCTATATTTCAGACGCCCTCCAAAACTATACCTGAGCACCGATAACATCCGCTTCGATTGTTCAAGGACCCTGTACTTGAAGCAAAAGGGGGGCCATACTCAGATTTTCCTCTGCTCCCTCCATTTAAAATTTAAAAAACGCATTTGTTACAAATCGCCCCTGTTACAAATCGCCCCATACTCCCTTACGTACCTTTCCGTACCCTATTATCCGTACATTTTCCGTACCAAACCACGGAATTGCAAGCACGGGACCGTAACTTCACAAATATTTTTCACGTTTTTGAGCATTTCTCATGGGATTTTAAAAAAGGGCTCCCTTTTCCCTCGAAAAAACATTTCAGGCCCCTGGGGGCTGTGGGGGAGTCGCATGCGGCGGGGGCACGACCCCAACAATGCACAGGTGCAGTTGGTCAACAGGCACAGTCTCTGAAATTTGGAACGCCCTTAAGTATAATTTTCGGTGAAACATCCCCGAAAAATTGATTTCGGAAGAAAAAAATTTAGATATTGTTTTTTTTGACTTGAAAATTTCAGCAAAGTGGGTTTCGGTGAAAAAGTTTAGGTGAAAAGTCGTGATACCCACTGGGGGCACTCGCGGCACGGGGGGCGACGCGAGAGAGGGGAGGGGCAGCGGGTAACGACGGCGGCCGGCGGGTCCGCAAAGCGCGGAAGGCGAAGGATGCGCGGAGCGGGGGGGGCTGATGTGAGGCTAGGTGAGGCGGTGGGGCCGGCCGGCGAGAGCACCATCAGTCCAGGGCCCCTTCAGTTCAGCCCGAAGCGTCCAGCGATTCGCAATGAGGGGGGTTCGAGTTTTCCTGCTCCTCGTCCTTGCCCGCGGTACGCCCGGCTCTTCTTGAAAATTGTTTAAAATCGCTGTTTTTGAAAAAATTTATGAATGAGTGGAGGCCCTTGCTGATGTGTCGTGTCTGTTCCAGCGGCGGCCGCCCAGTTGATGCGTCCCCCACAAAGGGGAGTTTGTTAGCCGCGAACCCGATAAAGGTTTTATCTACAAGGGGGACGGGAGGATTAACACGTTCGCTGCAACGGGGTTTTTGGGGGGAAAAGCCCAGACTGCGAAGGCCTTCCCAGAAATACTATTGACCGCACAAAGCTCGGAAAACCCCACCATTCGACTTCTCATAGGGCCCAAAACCAACGAGCAAATAAAAAAAATACGACCACGGATATTCTCGTATCGCAGTATGGGGCCCTTCCGCGAGTGCGCGGCGCCCAGACGCGATACGAGAACGCCCGTGGGCGTATTAGAAAAATTTTTATTCTGGCCAAAACGGGGAACCAGGAACAGGTGGGGAAAAAACGACCCAATTTTTTGGACCTGCTAGGGTTTTCCCCAATATTTTGGGTTTTGTTTCGACGTCCTGCGACCATTTTCGTACCGCAGCGAACGTGTTAAGGAGTGCAGTACCAGGGAAAAGCGGTTTCCCCTGCAAACTGAATGGGAAAAACATTACGCCAAAATGTGGCGAGACAAAAAGTCTCGCCACATTTTGGCGATACTTTCATGTCTCGCCACAATGGTCAGATTCAAATGTCTCGCCAATTTATGGCGAGACTTTTTTGTCTCGCCAAAAAATGGCCCAAAATTATTTAAATAGGGTAGGCAATGCATGGATTCATAGCAAAAAACATAAACTACTGCATTTTCACAAAAATTTACGAGAAATCATTTCTGATCACCACTGATAGTTTTTGACCCCCCTGGGGACTCTCAAGAGTAACGCTGTTTGTTTCGCTCATAAACCCCAAAAGGGGGCGTCTTCACATAACAGGGCCGCTCACATTCAGTTTCATTGAAAACAGATTGTACTCACAAAAATCACAGTAGCACTGTGGCTATGAAGAAATTTGCAGGCAGGTTGAGAGTTGATTCTCCAATAAAGATTGGGCTACAAACTGTAGCTGTGAGTACTGTACAAATTAGCCCAGAGAACAGATGGTGGGAGACTGTTGATGAACCCTTTAAAATTGTCCACACCAACACAATGTTTGCCCTTCGGTCACTTTCGCCTCTTGCTGGTCTCAACATGAATCTGAAAGAGAAAGAATAATGAACTGAGAAGAGAACAAAGACAAAGTGAAAAGTGAGAAAGTCGACACAAAGCAAAAGCAAAGTATGAGAATCCAGCCAGAGGAGGTTTTGAACCTCGAGTCTAGTACAATCAGAACGGGTCTCTTACAATAATAATTTGCATAAATAAAGTCTCAAATTACCTGCAACAGTTTTGGTCCAGTCCGGGATGGTTCCATGTGTAAGTGCACCAATTACTGTGACAATGGAAAACTTGGGAGCAAAATGCATTGAGATCCCTAAGTATACCATCGTGGAGAAGTTTTCCTAGTCCACCCATGAAGTACAGCGGTCTAACTGAAGATGACGACGATGATCTCACCCCAATTTCTTGGGTGATATGGAGCCTTATGAGGACCCTGTCCTTGTTGAGGGGACGAGGAGGCAGAAGATACAGAAGAAATTGTGGAGTTATGTCACCTTTGGGGAGTGGCTTGGCCAGACACGAAGTATCCCCACATTATGGCGCAGAAATTAATACAACTCCAGAGAGCCACCGTTGGAGAAGTTGCCAGAAGATTTGCAAACACTCTTGGAAAAGAGCAGTAAAAACCTAACACCAGAACAGAAGGAAGTGTTAGAACATACTTAAGACTCATCATGATGTATTGCAAAAGACAACTATACCTTTGGTAGAGTATAATATGGTGTATCGAGCTCTAAAAGTTTATCCATGTCTATGTAGTTCAAGGATGCCGCGTCTCGCTCTTCTAATCTTGCACATTTCTTGCAGTTGGCCGTGCATGGTCTAGCAGGCCGTCTGCTCAATGCATCAGCATGCCCATGTTGATTCCTTTCTCGTGGACAACTTCAAATTTGTACGGCGCCAGCCTTTCAAGCCATCGAGCTAGGCTTCCAGTTGGATTTTTGAAGTGAATCTCTACATTATACCAAGGGCTCCAAAGAGTCTTCATATTGTATCACTGTAAAAATTATTGTGAATTTACGAAAAAAAATTTACAAATCCCTGTAAGGTAACAATAACATTTCGTTATTTTATGAAATATATTGTAGAGGCCGTTTTATGAATTATTCATCACAGAAATCTTCTTAATTTTATGAAATTTGTTGTGAACACCGCCTTATGAAATGGTACGAACGAAATACATCTCAACGTGACAGCAAGATCACAAAATATGAAAAGTTTCCTAAAATTACAACAACAAATGCTTGGGTAATTTCCGTTGCACAATCGCTTGTAAAATTACGAGATATGTGATGCCTTCATCATTTTACAAGATGTTCATAAAACAAAACAAAAACGCTGAAATAAGTTAATTTCCATAGAATCAGCGTGACAAGGTAGAACAAAAGCGGTCCACGTAATTTGGAGCGTGTAAAAAGTTTGTGATTTTACAAACTACTGCGTGAAGAATAATTCATAACTCGTTAAGAAACAAAAAAAAGTTGTAATTTACATATAATTTGTGCAACGAAATTACCCATAAATTGTTTGTAAATTTACGAACTAATTTTTTACAGTGTAAATATCATGTAATGGTGCCTCTGTTTATGGCAAATTCTGACAATTGTTAAATGTTCTGTTATTATTTGCTCTTATCTCTAGATCTGTTGTCCAAACTGACTTTTAATTCCAGATATTTTGAGGATTGTCATTTTGATGCCCAATGGACTTTGTATCTGTCTCCAGTTTCATATTGTTGCTTTTGAATATGTGTGAAAGATCATAATACATCATTGAGCCTCTGAACTATCTTAATTAGAGTAGGTGGACGTGCTTCAATCAATAAAATTGACAGTGAACTAAAAGCATTTGGAACATCATTTTCAAACCCAAACATGGCGCAAAAAAGGGGGAACGGCTTGAAATTGGCGAGGGCTGTGGCTGCAGTGGCGATACCCCGCGCGGACCAGAGCCGGCCGGCCGCCGATACCCCCTGCATCCATCCAGCGGCTAGCGCTTCGGCTCTATGGATGAAAAATTGCGCAGGCCTGGCGGCGGTGACGGTGGCGCGCGGGCCCAGCTGGACCGTCTGAAAATGGTCTTAGTCCGCCAGTGACGTCATAACCCCCCCTACTTCCATCTTGCGCCTGGATGGATGGGGGCACTGGGGGGGTTCTACGACGGTTCACCCAAACTTTTTGATGCCCAGTTGTTTTTTTTTGACGAAAATTAAAATTTGTCATTTGCCTAAAAACGTTTTCACCGCACTAAAAGTGCTTTGCCCAGTGTTTCATTATAGAGGCGCCAGCCGCCCACTGGTGTAACAAAGCATTAAATTATGCCCTTTAAGGGTTAAAGTTTATGCCCCTGGAGCGATGAATCATTAATGCCTTTTGGAAGAGCTTTAAAATTTGTTTAAAATTCCCTTGCAAAATGGAAAATATATGGGCACTATATGGACAAAATATATGGCCCAACATGTATTGACGACATATGTGAAAAGATAATTTAGCAAGATACTTTTCCGATATAAAAATATGTGGCAAATATAATTTCATACAGTGCTCTATATGTAGGCAATATATGTGAATACACCAGGAGTCTGACGACTCGGAGACTTCCTTTACTATGATAAAAAATGTCAACCTCGCCTTGCGAGGACATCATTGAAATCCTACCGTATCGCCTAGAAGAACTTTTCGCGCTACACCCAAAAAAGACGTTTAAAATTTCCGAACTGTTCCAGTTAACTTGTTAAACAGGATTTCTCAAAATTTCTTGGAGACTTAAACGCATAGAAAAGAACCTTGCCCCTGCTTAATATATGGCGTCAATATGTTTTTCAAGATAAAATCATCTTCAGAAATATAGCCGCCTTTCAACATCGAGTGCCAAGATTTTAAGAAAAGTTACTTGAAAAGTCTGCCCTCCTCACCCTGCCCCATCCCACGACGGGCACCGTGTCAGATATTGAAACATACATTTTGCGAAGATAATATTACATGGGGGAATATATGCATCATATATTAACGGGTACCAAGATATACCCCCATATATAAACCACGCATTGCGCAAGATAATTTGCAATATATTGAACAAGATACAATCATATTGGCAATGCATGAAACATATATGGAGTCATATATTGACACATATTTTCCATATATTTTCCTTTTTGCAAGGGTTGCTATACGATTCACTCCCTTCCCAAAGGGCATGAAAAGGTTTAAGCTCTTTGAGAGCGTAATTTATATGCCTTCTTCTTACCAGTGCCACTGGGAGAAAAAAGTACGGAACGTGTCCGGTCAATTTTTTACCTGGACCGTCCGTACCTTGCTGGTAACCACGGAAGTTCTGTACATGTTTTCCGTGCCAGTTTACATGAGATCCTTGTGGAGACTACATAGAACCAGTACGGAAGGTAAGGGAGTATGGGGCGATTTGTAACAGATTTCGGAATTCTCTATACAAAATTAAGAACATTCTGCATATCGGTGTCAAACTTGTGCCAGTTGAGCAGTCTGGCCCTTCATCTAGACTGTGCAGCTCCATTGGATCAATCTGGAGTCCGTAATCTTTGAAATCTAAGACGTTTTCCAAACCCTTGCATGCTGTTACGAATCGCCCCAGCATGGGGTGATTTGTAACAGCCATGGGCCTTTCATAACATCCTACACATTAAATGAAACATCGTCAGGAATGTTATCTCCTCCACCAGCTGTTCTTCGGGTGTCCTGCAGACGTCTAAAAATCTACATTACAAGCTGCCGTTGACCGCCTCAGCATTTTTGAGAGGACAGCATAGAATAACTCGCTTAAAAAGGCATTTCGAGCTGTGTAAACGTATTGGAATAAAACAGCAGATGATTCGAGAAATAATTCAAGCATTTAACAGCAAAAACTACTTAAATTCTTGTTTTGAAACGGGTCTGTCATGAATCACCCCAAATGCCTGTTACGCAAGAAATCCGTCCCTAAATATCAGTGGACAAAGTAAAAGCAACTTATGCCACGTGTTTACATTGTAAAGGGGTCACGCTTCAAGGCCCCAACGGTACTTCGATGGTGCTTCATACCTGGGGAGCCAGACAGAACTTCCTAGAACTCAAAATAAAAGATTTGCATGTTTGCCGAATTTCGGTGTACCCTATATTTCAGACGCCCTCCAAAACTATACCTGAGCACCGATAACATCCGCTTCGATTGTTCAAGGACCCTGTACTTGAAGCGAAAGAGGGGCCATACTCAGATTTTCCTCTGCTCCCTCCACTTAAATTAATAAACGCATTTGTTACAAATCGCCCCTGTTACAAATCGCCCCATACTCCCTTACGTACCTGTTCCGTACCCTATTATCCGTACATTTTCCGTACCAAACCACGGAATTGCAAGCACGGGACCGTAACTTCACATATATTTTCACGTTTTAGAGCATTTCTCATGGCATTTAAAAGGTCTCCCTTTTCCCTCGAAAAGCATTTCAGGCTCTGGGCGCTGTGGCGAGTCGCATGCGGCGGGTCACGACCCCAACAATGCACAGGTGCAGTTGGTCAACAGGCACAGTCTCTGAAATTTGGAACGCCCTTAAGTATAATTTTCGGTGAAACATCCCCGAAAACTTGATTTCGGAAGAAAAAATTCAGATATTGTTTCTTTTGACTTGAAAATTTCAGCATGTGGGTTTCGGTGAAAAAGTTTAGGTGAACGTCGTGATACCCACTGGGGGCACTCGCGGCACGGGGGGCGACGCGAGAGAGAGATGGGGCAGCGGGTAACGACGGCGGCCGGCGGGTCCGCAAAGCGCGGAAGGCGAAGGATGCGCGGAGCGGGGCGGGCTGATGTGAGGCTAGGTGAGGCGGTGGGGCCGGCCGGCGAGAGCACCATCAGTCCAGCCTCTTCAGTTCAGCCCGAAGCGTCCAGCGATTCGCAATGAGGGGCTTCGAGTTTTCCTGCTCCTCGTCCTTGCCCGCGGTACGCCCGGCTCTTCTTGAAAATTGTTTAAAATCGCTGTTTTTGAAACATTGATGAATGAGTGGAGGCCCTTGCTGATGTGTCGTGTCTGTTCCAGCGGCGGCCGCCCAGTTGATGCGTCCCCGACAACGTGAGTTTGTTAGCCGCGACCTGATAAAGTTCTATCTACAAGGGCACGGGAGGATTAACACGTTCGCTGCAACGGGGTTTGGGCGGAAAAGCCCAGACTGCGAAGGCCTTCCCAGAAATACTATTGACCGCACAAAGCTCGGACACACACGTACCATTCGACTTCTCATAGGGCCCACACCAACGAGCAAATAAAAAAAATACGACCACGGATATTCTCGTATCGCAGTATGGGCCATTCCGCGAGTGCGCGGCGCCCAGACGCGATACGAGAACGCCCGTGTCGTATTAGAATTTCTATTCTGGCCAAAACGGGGAACCAGGAACAGG